CACAGGTGGTTTTTTCCTAAGACGGATAATCTCTGCTTTCCCTCACCTCACGGTCGGGGAGGGGCTCAGAAACGTGCATTTGGTGGATCCCTTCCTCCCATCAATCAAGAGAAAGTCAGGCCACGGGAACCATCTCGAAACAAGTCGCCCAGATCGCGTGAGCCCTGCGCCCTGGCCACCTGGTAGCCCCCACTGCAGGAGCGCCTTGGGGGAGCAGAGTGGGGTCCCACTCCACCCCATCCCACCCCTGAACAGCCTGGGAACAACTTAAAATGTTTCCCCTGGACCAGGGATCCCACAAGGAAGCTGGTGCCCAGGCTTCCCAGAATGAGCCTGGCCATGGCAGCGGTTAGAGGCCACCAAGGTCCCCACTGGGGACAGGGGTCGATGGGGGTCCCTGGGCGGGGCAGTGAGCCAGCCATGGAGGGAGCCCAGCGAACCCTGGCCCTGTGGCACATTGCTTTGGCCAAAGCGGCTCTCAGGGAAAAGCAGCCCCTCCTGGACCCCTCGGGGTTCAGCATCAGCCCCTCCCCAGAGACCACCAGCCAGGAGGGCAAGAGCCCCCTCCCCACCCCGGGGTCTCGGGATGTCCACTGCTGCTTCGCAGTAACCACAGCCTCAGTCCCTTCTAGTCCCTGTGCTTCTCGGTAGGTTCCTCTAGTGCCCTCAGGTGGGCTAGTTGGCCCACCACGCCTTTATTGGAAGCTGCCACGTGGCCCCCGGTGCTCCTGGAGCAGCTGACCTCTCACCCTGCAGGGCACCTGTGGGCTCCACTCTCTGGGCCACGCTTGGTGTCACCAGACTTCTGATTTTGTTTCAAGTTATTTTATTCTGTCTTTCCAAGTGGGGATGAAATTGTATCTTGTGGCTGATCCCCGTAAGTAGAACTTACATGTGATTGTGTGGGCAAAAAAGGCTACAGACATGTTCTCCCAAGATTAAGGTTCAAATCCTGGCTGTGGAGCCTGTTGCTGTATGGCTTTGGGCAGCTGCTTACTGTTTTGGAACTCCGTTTTTCCATCCATAAAATAGGCATCATGGTTCCCATAGAGCAGCCATGAGAATCCAGAAGCTGGGCACCCAGCACCTAGTTAGGCCCTGGGAAGCCAGAAGTGGTGTTGTTCTAGGAGGTGGTGAGTCCTGCAGGGCACACCGAGCCGCAGCTGCCCCAGCACTGGGGAGACGAACACCCCAGCACTCCCGTACATGCTGCATTGTCTTTGGATTCAGCAGCCCTTCCTCACCAACAATGGCTTGCAGCTGAGGTCCTGCTGGAAAGTGGCAATTGATTCCAAGCAGTTGCTGGTCAGCACCTTGTCTGGGGACCCTGAGCACCCTTCCCCTACAGGCCCACCCCCAGTCCTCTGGGGTACATCAGGGAGAGCGACTTGCTCACGTTGGAAATCGTTCTCCCATCAGGGAGGGCTGGCAGCATGGATTTCATTTTGGAGAGAACTCTCCAAGGCTGTAAACGTTGCACCTCCCAGTAACACAAATTCTAGGGAGGAAGCAAGGTGTGCCTATTCGCCACTCCGAGCCCTGGGCTGAGTGAGCACCTCTCCCGCCTTTGGCCTGCACTCCTGGGGATGGAGACCCTCAAGCAGCATGGCCCCAGGAACTCGGACTGGGGGCCCAAGCCGTGGCCCTCTGGACCCACATTCGCCTTCTGGCTGGAGGCGTAGGCGAAGGAACCACTGTCTCCTTTGTCAGTCTCCTCGGGGCAGGGAAACGGGTTGGTGGGGGTTCCTGGCTGTCCAGTGTAAAGACCACCCCTTTGTACCTCCACAGACGCCCACCCCTACCCGGGTCTGCCTTCTGGCCTGTGCCAACATTCACCTCTGGTCCTCCGTCCTCCACTCTCCTGTCTGATGCTGATGCCGCCTCAGTCCCCAGGAATGTGGACTGCCCGTGGGGTCAGCAAGTGGGCCAGCTTGTTAGTGTACCACAGCCTCGAGTCCCTGGGGGTCTTGAATGAGAAGTCCCCATGCTGTCAGGGCTCCGAGGCAGCCCCATGGATAGGAGGACGAGGCGGGGCAAGGAGGCCTCGAGCCCAGAGGCCCAGCAGATGCCCAGCCAGCACCAGGTGCACCATCTTGAGAGTAGACGCTCCAGCCCCAGCAGCCAAACAGCTAGGCAGAGACAGCCGTTCCATCAGTTCGGTGTCTGAACAAAATAAGTTACTGTATGGCTCTAAGCCAGGAATGGTGCACCCTGTAGCCCGGGAGTCAAATCTGGCCCCTGCCTGTTTTTATAAATAAAGTTTTATTGTAACACAACTATGCCTATCCACTTATGGATGTCTGTGGTGACATTCACACTATGACGGCACAGTTGAGTGTCTGTGACAGGCACCACATGTCCCATAAAGGCTAAAATATTTACCCCCTTCCACTTTACACGGAAGTGTGTCAACCCTCTGTGTTGGTCTGCACAGGCTGCCATCCCGGCGTACCACCAACTGGGCAGTTTAACCCACAGGAGGTTGTGGCTCGCAGTTCTGGATGCTGGCAGTGAAGGGCAAGGCTCCAGCTGACTGTCTCCGATGCGGCTCTTCCAGCGGACAGACAGCTGCCTTCTCACTGTGTTGGGAGGAGTGTCTCCCTGTCTGGGCTCTGTGGTTTCTCCTCAGGCTGGGCTGCTTTCTGCTGGCTCTGCTGCCACCTTCTCCTTCTGTCCCAACCACAGCTCACCTGGATGCTGTGGGTCCCGACTCCTGACTCCTGGGAGAGAAATTCGGCCTGGGTCAGTGGGGCCAGATGTCCACTCCCGACTCCATCAGTTGTGGTCAGGGAGTAGTGCCCCGCCGTGTGACAAAAGAAGGTATGAGTGGCATTTCTAATACAGTCTGAGCCAAGAGTTGAGATGCAGGTTCTGTTGATGGGGAGATGACTAGAAATTGGGAGTGCAAGAGCTTTGGAAAAATGGGGGCATAGCTTACCTTCTTGCTTAATGAGAGCATGGTTGATTTCCAGATGAAGACCATGGGTAAGAGAAGTAGAGGAAGAAGAGGGTGGCACAGAAGTGACTTGGGGGGTGGGCAAGGAGGAGGAGAGGGTGGAGAAGCAATCATGGCTGCAGCAGTGATAGGAAAACCTGGAGGAGGTGGTGGTGGTGACCGCAGTGAGATTGTTTAGGATGAAGACAGCACCGATGGTTCCACGGTGTGAATGCTCTGGGCGTCTCCCCACGGCTCCCTGTGTTGGAGTTTGAATCCCCATTGCGAATCCTGAGCGTGCGGAGGCTCAGTCCAACTGCAGTGGAGGAGGTGAGAATTAGATGAAGTCACTAGGGTGAAGCCCCCTGAGGGAACCTCGGTGGCTTTATAAGAAAAGGAGAAGCACGTACACTTGCTTTTGTCACACAGAGCCCAGTGTCACCTTGGGACTCTGCCAGCCAGAAGACCGTCCTTCAGGAGATGTAGCCTCCGCCTCAGGTATTTGATTCCAGTGACACAAATGGACTAAGGCAGATGTGGCGTGGACGGCGATGGCGGTGATGAGGAAGTGGTCTGTGTGCCTGACCGTGCTGAGCACTTTCCATTCACCATCAATTAATTAAAACAACGTTAGGGAGCAGGCAGTATGATCACCCCCAGTTACAGCCGGGGATCCCCAAATCTCGAGGGCAGTTTTCTGCTGGGGTGAAAATGAGTGGCCAGTTCACAATAGAACGTGTTTCGTACCACCGCCACCTTCTGTCTCAGGGGTGTTGCCGTCCCCTCCCGGGAAGGACAAGTGTTCGTCGGTGGCCCAGCCGCACTAAGAAAGGCCCATGCGGTGACCCGTGGGAACTGAAAAGTATCAGCACCCCACACCCACTGTGCCTCCCCAGCGGTAGCCTTCTCCTCCCCGTCAGGACAGGCCCTGGATATGTACCCATCGCCGTCGACTGTGTCTGGGCATCCTCGGCCCTGCACCTCAGTCCGCCATTCCCGGGTTGCTGTGACCGGAGCTGTACTCCGTGCACTGTTTTCCGCCCAGAATTGCACTTGAACTCGATCCATGGGGCTGTATCTTTGGGGCCATTTGTTCTCCTCCCTGTAACCCTCCGGGGTGTGACTACAGCAGGCCTGACTCATCCACCGGACTCGAAGTAGACGTCTGGGTTTTGCCTGGTCTGCTGCTGTATTAGCCTCTCATCGCAATAACAAAGCACCTAAGGCGGCTGACTTTA